CTGGAATTGTCAGCTGCTGTAAAGGGGCCCAGGATGACAGTTTGGAGGCTGGTGGTGATGCTGGTCAAAGTAGCTTCTGTGATGTATAGAGGCCTGACATGACCGCAGGGGTGAGGAGTGAGAGGAAAGTGAGGGGTGGAGACAGAAAGGGTGGACTCCTTTGGGGGGTTATGGTGAGAAAGGGTCCTGACCGCTGCATGCCTGTCCACCTGAAATGGATGGCGGGTGGCGCTGCTCAATGCCTGGCTCTCCTGAGGGAGGCGGGAGGGAGAACACATGAGCCAACAGTGTGAGCAGCCCAACTATGCAAGCTCACGATGCAGTAACAGGTGACATCTGTCCTGCTCTGCTCAGACCACATCCCAAGGAACTTCACCCTTGGACCAAAGTCAATAAATGGCCATGTGTCTCCCGGAGAGGAGTGGGTGGTGCCTGGGCCACACAGACCAGGCCAGGGCAGGATGACTGAAGGAATTCTGGAATTCCTTGGAGGGACTTGGAGGGACTGTGATGGTGCTTCTCAATGTCTGAAGGTCTGTCCCAGAGAAGAGGAATTCTGCTTGCCCTGGGCGCCTCCTGAAGGCAGAGCTAGCTCCAGATGGGGAAGGACAAGAGGCAATTTTCAGCTCAAATGCTGAAGAAGTTTCTAGGTCACACTGACCCCAACGGCTGCCGGAGGCACTGGGACAGGTGTGAGAGTCCCATCACTGGCAGTAATGCAAGCAAAGGATGATGCTTTGCCATATGTCTTGCACACCCAGGGTACCCAAAGAACATGTGGTCCAAGGAACACCCAAGAAACACATGACATGATTCCCCGCTCTTGGGGGCTGGCAGTATTGTCTGGGAAGCTTGACTCAGACAAAGCACACAGAGGGAGCCATGAGAGGCACAGGAATGGCAAGGAGTCTCAGGTTGGTTCCACCTTTCTGGAAGAACTTGGGCCCAGTTAGAGCTCCCTGCAGTGGCACAGGCTGTCTTGTGGACAGTGAACAGCCTGTCCTTGGAGGAATGCAACTGGGACCAGATATCCTTGGGCAGGGGGTGGAGGAAAAGGGATTCCAGCTTCGGGCGGGCCGAGGGGGTTGGATATGAACACATGACCTCTGCGGTTCCTTTGAGTCCAGAATTCCTTGGCAGAGAAATACACCCGCAGAACTCTGAGCAGCACACAAGGTTACCGAGGACGGAGCAGAGATCCCGATATAGCCGGCGGGAGGCTGGCAGGAGGCAGGTGGCAGCGGGTGAGGGGAAAGTAGGTCCCCTGAACAACCGAGGTGGGGCATGAAATTAACGAGGCTGGAAAGGGCTGAGCTCAGGGCCTTGTTTTTAAAAACTGTCTCTTAGCAAGAAAAATGAGGGAAAGAAATTTGGGCAAAGCAGATGTAATGGAGACTGTGAATGCGTCTGTCGACTGGCAGCCAATTGGCCAGAGAGAGGGGCCTCCTGGACAGCAAAGAAGAGATGCAGATCAGTGGGTCTGGGGTGACCCCCGCGTGCCACGCAGGGCAAAGAGGAGTTGGCGATGGAATGTGGGTGACAGCAATGGGGGTGACCACCTCCTGCAGGGAAGACTCTTGGGCTCCAGCCTTTCGGCTGGGCCTTTCTGTCCCCTGCCCCACCGCAGGCATTGTGCTCTGACTTGCTCATCCCCCTCCGACTTCTGCTCACGCTATTCTCTTCATTTGGCCTGCCACTTTTTTCCTGTCCAATGGAGGCTGGTCCTAGATGACCTCTAAGGGTCCTTCTGTTCAGCCACTTTGGGGCCCCTTGAATGGTGGGTATCGGGGCTGCCCGAGTCACTCCCTGGGTGATTGGGTGCCTTCACCCTTGTCTCTTTGGGAAGAGTAAATGCTGGTGACTAGCTGCCTTGGCCACCCTGCTCTGCCCCAGAGGAGGTGGTCTGGGGCTCCTCGGGGACAAGGGCTCTGTTGGATTCCTCTCTGATCTGCACGGCTCCTGGTCTGACTCCATGGGCAAAGGGCATGCTGAATGGAGAATGAGTGGGTGGATGGGTGGATAGATGGATAGGTGGGTGGTTGGGTGGGTCGGTGAATGAATGGATGGATGGACAGATAGGTGAGTATATTCTATCTGACCACCTGTATGCCATCTGGCAAAGGACACAGTTAGCTGTGTTAGAGTGATTCTATGCTTCACTGGGTGGCGAGGGTGGACAGAGAGAGAAAGAAGACGACAGGAAGGAGGTAAGGCAGGAGGGAGAGGAAACAGTTGCTTCCAGCTTAGATGTGAGCTGCTGGGTTGCTAAAGAAGAGGAAGGTGCCCTTCCTGCCTCCTCCCGGGCCAAGTCCCCTGGGCTTTCACCATTGGCCTCTGCCAGGAGGTGACTAAGTTCTAGGAGAAGGTGGGGCTCTTAGCCAGGGGTTCCCCAGATCTTGTGTTTGCAGGTAGCTCAGGGAGTCCATCGAGGGGCAGAAGAGGTGGCAGGGCCTGCATTTGAACCTCTGAGCCCCTGTGTGGCTGCATATGGGTGGAGACTGCTGCCACCAGCCTGGACTTCAGCCTGGAGGAGTGGCCCATGAAGCCTGGGGAGACAGAGTAGTCTCAAGAGAAGCCCCCTGCTCTGGTGGCTCCAGCAGGCCCCAAAGCCCGAAAGCTCCACAGCCCCTCACTGCTGTGGCCCTGGGTCCTGGTGTACAGCAGCCCAGGGCTGAGCTGAACCCCTCCAGGTCTGGGCCCCCACTTCAGCCAGGTCTAGCAGGGAGCGGAGAGAGCTGGAGCCTGGGAGTTGAGGTGCAAGTCCCCAAATGAGTCCTTACCCACTGGGGACCTGTCTGCAGACGTCCCCAGCAGCCAGCCTGTTTCTCCTGGGGCCTCTGGGATGCTGAATTTGGCAAACCCCATGGCTCTCTTTGGAAAACCCTAAATGGTGCCACGGTCCAGGCCCTGAGAGTACCCTCACCCTGCCCCACCCACCTACTCAGGTCCTCTGGTCCCACTCTCATGGTACAGATGGAGCCTGGAGGCTCAGAGAGGGGAGGAGAATCATCCAAGATCACACAGCACTGGAGAGGGGCAGAAGGGACAAATGGAGTCCCATTTTCCTGAGCTTTCTCAAGGCAGTGCCATGGCTCTCTTGGGATAGCCCTCACTTCTCTGAAACCCCATCCGCCCCTCCTTTGGGCAGTCCCCATGAGCCACTCCCTTCTCCAGGTGTGTGTACGAGAGTGGAGTGGGGGTTGGTTATGGGGATGCTGAGCTAAACCGTCCCAGTTGCCAGCATCCCCTAGGCTTGGTCAGCAGGGCAGGTTGAGAATGTAGGACAGACAGATCTCTGCTCCCAGTGAATTTCCCTCAGGAAATTCAGAGTCCTTGGGAGCCCCTGCTCGTCCTCCTCCCTACCTGGGACATGGAGGTGGAGGTGGCAGGGCTGGAAAAGCCTCCTAGAGGCTGCCCCTTCTCTGCCCACGAGCTCAGACTGCCCCAGCTGCTATGCTGTGGGCCCGGGGAGGGTCCTCCTGCTTCCTCGTCCAGCCCTACCAGCCAGGCCCCCTCCTCCCAGCCCACCCTGCACAGGTGACAGGGCCCTGGCAGAGGTAGAGCCAGCTAGACTCCTCAGGAGCTGTCACCAGGGCCAGAAGGCAGGGGCAGAGGTACCACAGAGGCCGCAGAACCCTCCTCCAGGAAGGGAGACCACCCTGGGGCTGTGGGGAGCCTGAAGTCCAGCGGCCGCTCCACACCTTGTGTTAATTGCCAGATTGATTTCAGATTGGAGTCTCCAGGAGGACCCAAAATCGATCCCCTCCACTCCTGCCTTCCCTGGGCTCCAGAGTTATTCTTAAAGCTGCAGCTGCCCCAGCTGCTTTGCTAAGCCCTCCTGTTGAAGAGTGGGCTTTGGGTTCCACAGCGTGCCCAGGGCTTGTGGGGGCTGGTGACCCCCTTCGAGATGTGCTTGTGTCTGTTTAGAGAAAACCTTACCCTGGAGGGAAGCATAGCAGCCCGTGGGGTGTGATTGGAGGGGTGTTAAGAAGGCTCTTACCCCAAATCTCCCTCCTACCAAGATGCTCTCATGTCCGTAATTCCACAATTAGGAAGTCATTCCTTTAGGTGAATTTAGGTCAACAGCTTCCAAAATATGGAGGCACAGGAGAAGGAACCCTCGTGAGGGCTGTAACTTTTCAGATCCGAGTGCGTGAGGGTGTTGGAGGCCTCGGGCATCAGGAGAGCTCTAGGGGAGGGCTAGGGAGGAGGGGGTGAGATCAGGGCGTGGGGAAGGAGAGCAGCCCCCTGAGTTGACTTGGTCCTCTGGTTCACTTTCCCCAAGGCACCCTAATTGGAAGCCCAGAGAAAGCTGAGCTCAGGCTTGGACAGTGGTGGCGGCCACAGGTGCAGAGGGTCACCAGGAGCCAGGCAGGGTACAGCTACTTGGGACATGTGGATGCTCCGAGGAGGCACGTGCCAGCTGAGCAGGAAAGCCCTCCGTCAGGCAGAGCCGTCTCCCCGTGTCTGCCCTGGGTCGAGTGAGCACTCGTCTCTTGTGGTGTACGAGCTGCCGCCAAGACCCACCTGAAGAGGAGGCTCTGGAGGGGTCTGGGTGAGGAACGGCAGGCACCGAGGGCATTTCCCACTCAGGGGGCTGTGTCCTGGGGCTCTGGGGCCAGAAGGCTGGCTTCGTGGCAGAGGGAGGTGGAACGATGGGGGAACTCCCAAAGCCCGGGCACCCGCTGTGTCCCCAGTTCTGAGCCAAGCACAGTCACAGTCTCTAATGTCACCACAGCCTTGTGAGAAAGGGGCTATTGGTCCCATTTCTTAGATGGGGACACTAAAGTGCATGAGTCGGTGACCTGTCCAAGGTCACACAGCTGCTCGTGCACAACTGGGATTTGAGCTTGCGTCTGCTGCCTCCCAGGCAGAGGGCTCCAGACTCTGATTGGAATTACTTCAAGACTGAAAGAGGCGTCCAGGAAGTCAGGAGGGCTGGATGGGGGGCCATGCTGAAAGGGGGGCTGAGCTCAGGCAGTCCACGATGCCAACGAGCCAAGGCAGTAGGGTTCTACCATCCAGTGATGTGACAAGCCAGGCACACCCAGTGCTGGGCTTCTGGCCTCAGCCTCTCTGACATGCTGCCTGGGCTCAGAGTCCCATGCGTGGAGAGGGCTGGTGGCACTTCTTCTGCAGCCCCAGCCTCACTTCTCTGCACAGCTGCTCCGCCAAGGCTGTAGAGGTGTGGCTCTGGGCAGGGTCACTGTGGCTCAGCCCTGTACTTGGGACACAATGCCATCGTTGTTCATCCCCTCCCCGTTTGGCCCTGAATGCTAATGCGGCACTCTGTGTTCTCACAGCCACCAACAAGGGCCTCTTTCCTGGTGGCATCACAGATGGACAGAGAGATCCTGGAACCTCCGCCCACCCCTGTTCCCATTGCTGGGGCTGGCAGGGCTCCCTGAGGTCAGCTTCCTCCCCTTGCCATGTTCTTTCAAGGTATTTTTGCCTGGCGCGTGTGTGTGTGTGTGTGTCTGTGTGTGTGCGTGTGTGTGTGAGTGTGTGTGTTGGGAGGAAGTGAAGCAGCAACTGTGAAACGTTCAGTGCAGTTACCACAGAACATATCTTTGTCTAGCCCGTGAACCCCCGAGAGCAGGGGCCGTGTCTGTTTTGAGCCCCCGGGGTGCCTGGCACATGGCGGGTACTCAGTAAATATTTGTAGAGTGAATGATGGCTGAGTGAATGAATTAGAACTCCTTCTCCCGTCCCTCAGCAGGGTGAGGACAGTGAACGCTTCCTCCCTCTCAGAGGGAGACCATCTCAGTCCTGGCTGGGCCACAGCTGTCCTGTGTGGCCCTTGGTGAGTTGCTTGATGACTCTGTGCTCAGGTCCCTGGGAGTGGTGCTAACTGGGAGCATGGCTGATGACATGCAGTGTTGGGAGGTAGAGTAGGGAGGAGCTGCTGCCTTCTGAGGAAGGTGCCTGCAGTGTGAGGCGCCGGGCAAGTGGGGCCTCTCACCTCCTGCAGGGTGAGGCTGATGTGGGCTGGCGCACAGCGTGGTCCTGAGGGGCTGGGCAGGAAGATGTCCTGGGTGGGGCCCAGGACTGGCATGTGGGCTGGCACTGGGGCTTAGGGGTGCCAGAGCAGGCTGGTTGGTGGCTTGGCCAAGGGTTGTGGTCAGGGGCTGACTCCAGCAATGGCTGGGGGTTCACACTGGACCCTGAATGCAGGACTTGGTCGGGGCCGGCAGAGCCAGCGCTAAGTTCTCAGACAGGGTCGGGGTGGGGTCAGGGCCTGGGGCTGATCTCAGGACCTCACCCTGGGGCTGGAGCAGAGATTCCCTCAGGTCTGGCAGGGTCAGCCTGGGGCCCGGGCAGGTTTTCTCTCTGATGGAGCCATTGGGAGCAGCTCTGCCATCCTGGCCTCATTTGCTCTAAGCACCAGCCACTGAGTGGGTGGATGCTGGAGGCTTTCTGAGGGCATTGGACTTGGAGCTGTCCTCCTCGTCCCCAAGGGTTCCTGGCAGAACCTCAGGGCTGCCCAGGGACCCAGGGGCCATGTCTTCCTCTATGTGTGCAGTGAGGGGACGAGCAGGAGAACCACCCAGCTAGCACTGACTCTCCAGCATCTGAAGGGTGTGTGTGTCATCATCCTTTCTCACGTGTGCACAGCACTCTGTGGTTTATAAAACCTCTTCCTATCCAACATCTTTTAATCTTCTCCACAGTCCTGAGAAACAGGGATGACAAGAGGTGGTGCCTGTTTCACAGATGAGGAAAACAGAGGCCCAGAGAAGCAAAGAAGCTTGCCCAGGGCCACTCAGGAGGCGGAGGCAGAGGCCAAGCTGAGAGTCTCTGACTCCGTCTGGTGCCCTGCCGCGCAGCTGCCCAACGGCTGCCTGGTCCTGGGCGCCCTGCCGGAGATGCCGTCCCCAGGCACTCCCACGCAGGGCCCTGCGGCCACGGACACCCTGAAGAGGGAACAAGCCGAGCTGTCCTGCAGCCCTGGCCAAGTCTGTCCAAGTTGCCTCAGTCATCAGCAAGTCACATCGCTGACATCACGACTGCATAAAATTAATTTGTTTAGTTAAGGAAGGTGTTAATTAAGAGTTCTCATTTATTGTGTCTTTGCAGACAGCTCTCGGGGGCTTCTGAGTTGTCAGTGCTGGTGACAGCAAAAGCTAATGGTATCACAAGTTATTAATAGGACAATTCAAGATGGGGAGGGGGAAGGAGCTGGGGCTGTGGGGGATGGGAAAGAGAGAGAAGGCCAAGGGAGTGGGCTCCCCTCTGCAAGTGGATCCAATTGCAGACGTTCTCTGGGGGTTGTGGGGTTCACTACCAGGCCCTGTGATTCAGATTTGTTGGTGGAGATAAGACTTACGCAGAGGTGATGAGCGGACTTTGGGCGCTAGAGGGAGTCACACTGCTGCTGCCCCCACATTCCTGGCGTTTGCCTTGAGGAGTGTTTGCTCTCACACAAGGAGGTCTTTCTTTGCTTGCTTGCTCCTCTTACCCTGACCTTGAGCATCTTGGGGTACAGATAGTGTTTGGGTTAGCTCTGGATCCCCAAAGCCTTGCACAGAGCTTGGGGCATGGTGGAAGGTCAGCAGACATTTGCAGAATGGATAAGGGATTGTGCTGTCCCGAGCCAGTCTCCAGGTCTGGCCTTCCTGGTGAGAGACCTTGATGTCTGTGGGGTGAGCCATGGGAGAGAGACTCCCCCAGCCACCCAGTCCCCAGGCCCTTTCAGCCCCCTTAGCCTTGTAGCCCTGGAGTTCCATGCCTGGGCAGTGGATAGGTCTCTGCTGACAAAGGTGGGGCGTATGCGCAGGTGTGGGCAGCCAGGTGTGGGGAAGGCTTGCCAGGGTCAGGGAAGTGGATGGAGTAAACTTGGGTCAACTCTGAACAAGGACCTGCCATGTGGATGGGTGGGAAAAGAAGGAATTGCAAACTATTTTAGCTAAGCGAGGATGGCTGCAAGGAAGCCACTTGGTGCAATGGAAAGAACATAGCCAAGGAGCTCAGACCCTCAGGTCTGTCCCTGATAGGCTCTATGACCTTGGGAGGATGACCACTCTCTGGGTCTTAGTTTGCTCATCTGTGAAATGGAGTGACTGGGCTAAAATTGGCAAAAGTCCCTTCTAATGCATGCACATCTCCCATATCCTGTAAATCACTTGTGGAGAGCACCAATCACATTCTAGAAGGATGACGGGCCCTTTTAGGGATGATCTTGAATGCTTACAACACCCCTGGGAGGGAGATCCTCATATTACCCCCTTATTACTATTGGGAAAACTGAGGGTCAGGTGGGCAAACAGAGGCTAAGTAACTTGCTCAAGGTCCCAAGTGGGCTTAAATCTAGGTCGGCGCTCTTTCCAGACTGTCGGGCCATCTCCATCAATCACTGGGGATGGGATGGCTACAGAGGAGACCCAAGTTTGAATGTTGGCTGACTGACCAGGGCAGGCAGGGTTGAGGGGAAGGGGGACAGAGAACCCCGTGTGACCAATGGTGCCCAGCCATCAGGCTAATGGAGCATGGCAGGGACAGGGTCTGAGACCATCATAGAACCAAACAGCCCACACTGTGAGCTCCAGCAGCCGCCTGCCTGAGCTGGCTCCTCTCATTTCACAGACAGACTGTCATTCACTCAGCAGCCATTTATTAGGCGACTGGCCTGACAACTAAAGATGAATCAGACTGGCCCCTACCCTCAAGGGACTCAGCATTTAGGGGGAGAGGTGGTCCCACAAACCTATGTCCCACGATGGGTCACAGGGGCTGGGATAGCAGCAGGCTCAGGTCTGTCGGGGGCTCCTGGGCAGGAGGGGGGTGGTCAGGGATGATTTCCCTAGAGGAAGTGACCTTTGCCTGGAGTCTTGAAAGGGAAGTAGATATTCACCAGGTAGAGGGGTGGGGCTGTGAGGTGGGCCTTCTAGGTGGAGGGAGCTGTGCGACAGAATCCTAGAGGTGTGAAACTACCTGATGGCTGAGCCTAATGAAAGAGGGGCACCCAGAGACAAGGTGGGCAGGGGCCAGAGCACGCGGGCCTCATTCATCAGCTTAGAGACTCTGGACCCCATCTGGAGGGCCCTGGGGAGCCATCTGTACCCTGATCAGATCACCTCCGCCACTGTCCTGCTCTGGGTACTGATGCCCTGCTGAGAGGGAGGAGGGTGGGGTTAGTTTGGATTTCTCCAGAATCCTACCCTGAGACGTGGATGTACAAGAACACTAGTAGGGAGAGAAAGGCAGCAGGGCTATTATGGAGTATTATTAGTGTGGTGGTGAGTGGAGCCCAGCCCTGCTGGGGAGCTCTGAGAGCTGGGGTGGAACATGCTCCAGACTTGGACCACTCAAGGAGCAAGGGAGCCGGGGTGTTTATTCACCAACTCCCATCAGCCATTGGTTGAAGGCTGCTCCCAAGAGGTATTAATTCCCTGGTACTTCTGGTCTTCCCTGCATAGTCAGCAAAGAGTTCCCCAGCAATCAGAGAAAATCCTCAGGCAAAGAAATGAAGATACTAGAAGTTGGTGGTGGGCCAGTGGCTCTGAAAGGGTGAGGGGCTTGGGAGGAGCACCAATAGCATCTGCGGCAGCGACAGAGCAGGGAGGACTCCCCAGAAAGGAGAGCAGAGGTCAGTTTCCACCAAGCCTCAGTCATCAACCACATGGTTGAACAGACCCTGGGGTCAGCTGCTGATGGAAGAATCACCTTCATGTGCATCTTCTCCAAGGCCTCAGCCTGGGGGCTGGGCCTGAAGACAGGAGGAAGGGAAAAATCTGGTCCTAAGCTCCACCTTTGGAGAAACACAGATCTGAGTTAAAGCGCTGATTTCCACTTATAAGCTGTGTCTTTGGGCAAATTATTTGACATCCTTGAACTTCAGTCTTCTCTGAAAAAGGGGAGATAATACATATACTATGGGATTATTGTGAACAATAAGCAAAATAATGCATGGGACATATTAGCCCAGTGCCTTGAATACATTATATGCCCAATAAGAGTTTATTATTATTATTATTATTCCAGTGATACATAAGAAAAGACGGGCAAGATAGAGGCTTGCAGAAAACACTGCCAAGTGATCAGCCCAGAGTAATTTTCAGTGGCCAGCTGTGTTCTCAGAAGTTAAAGAACAGACTCTATAGCATTTCTGGACTTCATGAGCTCAAATTGAGCCATCAGCAAGTGACTTCATATATCTGTTCACATGGCTACTGACTATGAAAACCACTCCTTTGTCTAACATCTGTCTCCCCAAGAACTCAAAGATCAATTTCAGACATTATCTTGTCACCCTCTTATCATCCTCAGACTGTCCCTGGAATAGATTTTGAAGATGTGGAACAGAGGCAGGAACAGTGGGCAAGGAGTCTGGATTCTAATTTGGGCTCCAGAATGAATGTCAAATTCCTCATCTGGAAGGTGGGGATAAAACCACATCATCTCCATCACTT